GATTGCAGTTCAACTGTTTATTGTTTTGTTTACAAGCTAAACAACTAGCTGTTGTTTAGTTTGTAAAACTGTCTGTTGTTTTGTTTGTGCATTGTTTATATTTAGTGGGTTTATATATATATATATATATATATATATATATATATATATATATATATATATATATATATATATATATATATATATATATTAATGTTTTGTTTACATTATTTGCAAATATTTTTATTTGCTTAGTAATAAACATGGTACGAAATTTTAAAAGAAAAACTAATAGAGGTTATACTTCTGGAGATGTCATAATGTGTGCTGTTAAAGATGTAAAGATTAATAACATTTCTATTAGATCAGCAGCAAAAAACCATGGCATTAATTACAGAACATTAGCACGTTATTGTAAAAAAATTATTATTACTAACCCATCACATGGTTCTATAGCAGATCTAATTGACAAAATTGAAAACCCCACCACCCTGAATGTTATAGGATACAAAAGTCGATTGATATTGCCAGAAAAAGTAGAAAAAGAACTAGTCACCTACCTGTTGCGAGCAGCAGATATATATTTTGGTTTAACTCCTACCGAAGTAAAAAAGCTTGCTTTCCAGCTAGCAATTAAAAAAAATATGAAGGTTCCCAATTCTTGGGTTGTAAAGGAACAAGCTGGTAAGAATTGGTTTACAGGATTTATAAAGCGCCATTCAAATATTTCCATTAGGCAACCTGAAGCTACTAGTTTAAGTCGAGCGACAAGTTTCAATAAGCAGCACTGTATGCAAAAAGACTCGTTCTCACCAAATGACATTTGGAACATGGACAAAACTGCTGTAACTACTGTACAGCAACCTAAAAAGGTTATTGCGAAAAAAGGATTAAAACAAGTAGGAGCCATCACGTCAGCTGAAAAAGGAACTCTTGTAACATTAGCATGCACAATAAATGCTATTGGAAATAGTATTCCACCCTTTTTTATTTTTCCTCGTAAAAACTCATAAGATCATTTCCTAATCAGTGCACCAACAGGAAGTGCAGGAGATGCAAATCCAAGTGGTTGGATGAAAGAAGAAAACTTTGTAAAATATCTAAAACATTTTGTAGGCAATACAAAATGTACTAAAGAAAAGCCTTGTTTATTGTTGCTTGACAATCACAAAACTCATCTTAGTTTTGAAGGATTAGATTTGGCAAAAAATAATGGAATAGTAATGCTTACTTTTCCACCACATTGCACATATAAGTTGCAGCCCTTGGATAAGGCAGTTTATGGTCCTCTCAAAAACTACATAAATATTGCTATGACATCATGGTTAGTAATGAATCCTGGAAAAACTGTTACAATATATGATATTCCAAAAATAGTAAACATTGCATTTCCAAAGACTGTATCTCCCCACAATATTTTAAGTGGTTTTTCTGCAGCAGGTATTTACCCGTTAAATCCTGATGTGTTTACTGAAAATGATAACTGTCCTAACTATGTAACTGATCGCCCTGACCCTCCTTGTTCACAGGCTGATTCAAATAAAAAAGACTGTGAATCTTATTCAATGCAACCAGAACCATCAAATAAAAGATTTAAAGAATCTATTCAGATACCAGATAATCAGGTCGATATAACAATTGAAGATCCAGTTGTATCAAATAAAACCTCTAATCAGAACCCAATCACAACATTAGGTTTTAACAATTCAATCATACCACCTGAGAGTATTAGGCCTCTGCCTAAAGCAGGCCCGAGGTTAGCATCAAAAAGAGGTAGGAAAAAGCGGTCAACTATGATTCTTACTAACACGCTTGTCAAAGCATGGCTTGCTAATTATAAAAAGAAGAAAACTAATAAAAAAAATTTAATAATGGAAGTAAAAAAGAATTAATAAAATCAAATCTTGCTACGAAAAAACCTTCTATAGTCTTAAATTCATCTGAAGATGAAGAGTATCTGTGCATCTATTGTTTTGAATCATTTTCCAACAGCCGATCAAGAGAACAGTGGATTCAATGTCAGGTTTGCCAAAAATGGGCTCATTAAGAATGCACACCAGGCTTACAACAGTTTATTTGTGAATTGTGTTCTTTATCCAATAATTTTTAAAAAACTAAACCTAAAAACATTTATAGTGATAAACTAAATTTGTTAATTGTGTTATATTTAAAATATATATATTTCAGTTTATAGAATTTTATTTTTATTTTTCTTAGTAAAACATAAACGAAATTAATTTGTACTCGTTTTACATTAAATTCTTATCTAAACTTGTCAAAATCCAAAAGTGACAATCAACTCCGCACCATGTGACAACCTACCCCGTGAGTGGGGTTAGTTGTCACACAGAAGCGGTCTTTGAAAAATGATTTTACAGCAATAAATATTTCACTCAATGTCATAAAAATATTATAATAGTTACTGGAAATAGTTAAACTAGCTTTGTGCAAAATTTGGCATTGATTGGATGAAAATTAAAAGCTGAGCAGCCTAAAATGTAAAAAGTGTGACAACCAACCCGCTCTCCCCTATATATATATATATATATATATATATATATATATATATATATATATATATATATATATATATATATATATATATATATATATATATATATAATATATATATATACATACATACATATATATATATATATATATATATATATATATATATATATATATATATATATATATATATATATATATATATATATACATACATACATATATATATATATATATATATATATATATATATATATATATATATATATATATATATATATATATATATATATATATATATATATATATATATATATATATATATATATATATATATATAAAGATAAGATATATATAAAGATATTATGTTTAATATCTCTGAGAGCTACCACAGAGTTCGGAAAACCTGATTACCAGCCGGCCTCAGAACTTGAAAACTGGGCTTTAGAGCTGTATTAGGAGACAATAGAATGAGTTTCCTGTCATAAAAACAGAGACACAAGCAAAACCCATGCATTGAGTCAAAAAGATCCATCATTCAACATCCTAAACTGGACACAATGTATTATAAATATATTTGCACCAGCCTAATAGATGAAGAAGGGGTGCGAGGCTGGTCAACAGATAGAATTTGTTTATCCCTTAAGTATTTGCTCAGGAGGTCTTCTACAAGACAGTAGCCAGATGCATTTAACATCTGCCCAAGATGAATATTTTTATCAAGACACCATCTCTAGCCTTGACTAAACCAAGAGCCCCAAGAAAAGTGTTTTAGGTTGGAGTTGACTTCTCCTAGCTTTTGCCTAAAAAAGTGTATCCTACACAGCAGCAGGACATGAAGAAGGGTGTACTGGGTTACATTTTACCAGTAGTAGGATAATTTGACCTGACTTTAACTCTTTCACTTCAGCTGTAATTACAAACTTTTCCATTAAATCATAGATTTAATTGAAAGTTTATGTGAAATGTATGTATTTTACACCTTTTATGTTTTTTTGCAATATCGCATATAAAATAATTATTAGTTTTCAATATTGTATTGAATATTTTTTGTCTATAACAGTTTTATACTTTTTTTATACTTGAAATTGATTTTGTATAATCGAAACCAGTTGATCTTAAAACTCAGGAAAAATGTGCGTGCGTGTGTGGGTGTTCCCACACACGCACGCGTGCGTGTGTGGGTGTTAGAAGGTAGGAATTCTATACAAGTGATGAGAATCGTAAACTAATTTATAATTTGCTGTTGAATCAATTTATAGTGAAATAAGCAAAAGATTTCATAAATTAATAAAATTTTTAATTGAAAAAAAAAATTACTTTAAGAGTAAAACTCTTGCTGACAATGAATATGCTGATAAACCGAGTAAACAGCATTTTTTTTGTATAAAAACACTTGTGAGTATGATTTCTATACAGATAATAACGATGCCTAAGTTTAATCAACACCACATTGCAATAATTACAATGAAACAATAAAATTCGTTTATTTAATTTAGGAAGAATCAAAAAAAAGAAAAAAATATTTATTCACTAGAATACACAAAATCTTTTTATTCGAGTATTATTCTGGAAACATTCATGTAAAAGGTTCTGGTGTAGAAACACTATATTTTTGTGAAGAATCTATACCAGTGACAATAAAGAGGATATATCACTAAGTCCTATGTTACTTGGCATGTGTGAAATAATTGTCTTTTTCAAAATTTTAATAGAAGCTTTAAAAACTCTTATATTTTTAATTTATTTTTATGCTAAGAATATAATCTAAAAAATTTCTGAACTATTGATGAAAAAACTATAACATTATTGTCAACCGTTGTGAAATAGGAATCTTCCATAAAAATGTACAGTTTCTATACAGAAATTCGTCTAATGATGATGATGATGATGATGATGATGATGATGATGATGATGATGATGATGATGATGATGATGATGATGATGATGGTGGTGGTGGTGGTGGTGGTGGTGGTGGTGGTGGTGGTGGTGATATCTTTTAAAGAAGTTGTACTTGTGAACATGGCAATAAGGCATTTTTTTACAATCCCTGATCTTTTTCTAACAACTTATAAGCAAATTTGATTATGAGGCTACCTTGGATTAAATCATAGCTTTAAATTAGGTTGCTGCTTTAATCATATCCCATTGTAGCAGCGCACCTTTTGTATAAATATTCTTGTTTTCTTTTATTTCATTCTTCTTGAGTTAATTTTAAATTTATGATTTTTCAGTTAAAAAACTTTTTAAAAATTAAATCTATAAATTGTGAACGTTGTTTTAGGTTTTCTAAAACAAATATTTCAAATAATTTTAAAAAAGTTTGTTTTCTACCACATGGTTTTATAATCAAGACTATATTTATATATATATATATATATATATATATATATATATATATATATATTTATATATATATATATATATATATATATATATATTTAAAAAAAAATATTATCAAAGTTTTTTCTAAATTTTTGAATGTTAATTACATTTTTTTTTCTTTATAGATTTGATCAGTCCAAATCCTTTGCTAAACGATGCTCCACGATACTTCAATATGGGTCTTCGTCGTTTGTCAAAAAATGCAGTAGGAACTTACTATTATATGTGCACTAGAAATAATAACTTTTCTAACCGCAGTCAAAAAGGTAAAATAGTCGTTTTACCAGAAAAAAATACTCCTGTTTTGCCACAGATAAGTGGTGGTAACGTTTTACCGCAAGCGAACCGTGACTGGCCCAATCATGATACCAAGTAAAATTGTTATTTATTTTTTTTTATCCTAAAGTTAATGTTTTTCTAAATTTAAATACGCAGTTATTATTTTTAAAGATTATTTGTTTTATTCTTCGTAGTTTTTTATTTAATGGCATATTTTAGGACAAGCCATACGAAGAAGCAGTATCACCTGAATAAATCAGTTTTAACACAGAAGCGCAATAAACCAATTTCTGTATAGTGGTTGCTTTATGTAAAATTTAAATTGAATAATGTCAGGCACATTAATTGATATCAATTGATTCAATTCCAGTCTTTTAAGCAAATCCCAGTGTCGAAGAGATATAATTTACTGGTGTAATAGCTTTTAATACTTTTGTCTGCAAATAAATTTTTCTAGAAACAATAATAATGCTTGTTTATTTTTTTTCTTTATTTGCTTAATTATTCTTTTTATTATGTATTATAAGCACAGTACTTGTATTTATGAGTTTTCATATAAACTAATACTTTATTAAATTCTCAATTTTTTTTTATTTGTTTCTCTTGTGTATAAAATGTAAATAAAAAATTAGGCTATTAAAAATAATGTTGATCAGGTTTGATACCTGTTTGTTGCTAGGATCAAGTTTGATATCAGTTATATTATTTTAGTGAAATCAAAATTATATTTTACACCAAAATATTAGTTTATACTAATTTATATTTTAAATTAATGAAATTCAACTAGTGATCAAATAGAACCTTCAAAAGCTGTTTAATTAGTATAAATTAGTTTAATTAGTATAAATTAGTTTAAATAGTATAAATTAGTTTAATTAGCATAAACTAGTTTAATTAATGTAAATTAAAAAATAATCCAGTATCTAATACACATTTTTTTTCAAAACAACTAAAACTATTGCCAAAACAGTAAATTTTATTTATAAAATGTTAAGATTCAAAAACAGATAAAATAGCCCAGTATTACGAAATAAGACCTAAAAATAGTTTAATTTTTACAACGTTTTTCTAAACTTGATTTCTTGTGTGTGTCTTGTCCGTCCGGTTAAAATCTTTGAAGCTATATTTAACCCACTCCTCTACTAGCTAGAGCTCTGAAACTTTTAGGATAGCTCAGAACCCAATGGCAATGCAATTTAAAATAGTTTTCGAGCTTCGGCAGTCAATATTTCTCTTAATTTCAACAAAATAAAGTTTTATATGCAGAAAAAATAAATAGCGACTTTGGTGAGCACTTAAAGAAAAAAATTGTAACAGACGAAAAATATTTCAAATAATTCAGCACGCGTGTTGAACAAAAATTTAGTAAACAAATAAATTATAAATAGTGTAAGTGTTAAAAAATAATTATTGCTATAAAAATTGAATTTAAGAGATCGCATAGTGAATAAAATAATCTACAACAAAAAATGAATTTTTCTAAAAATAACGTTTTTCAAGCGAACTAAAAAGTAGAGAATAATATACATATATATATATATATATATATATATATATATATATATATATATATATATATATATATATATATATATATATATATATATATAACTTTAATAAACTTATAGGTCGTTACGTTATAACTACTTATATAACTACATGACATAATATATATGTGTATATATATATATATATATATATATATATATATATATATATATATATATATATATATATATATATTTATATAACTTTAATAAATTTACAGGTTGTTACGTTATAACTTATGGCATAATATAATCCAACGTAAAAATATAAGATAATAATCACGGTTAGCACGGATTCTTATAATGCCTACCTAGCTGTTCCAAGAACGCCACTTATACGAAAAGTTATCGTACACATCAAGGTACCCTGTGATGCAAATTTTGAAATCATTTAATTTTGTCCGCGGAAAATAATTTAATTTGAATGTTCAAATTAAGTCAAACTTTGACTTCATAGTGCGCCAATAAAAACACTTGCAGAATTTAAACCACTCAATATAATTTGATAAAAATTGGTGCAAATGTAGCCAATAGTCACATCAATCTCTGAACAAAATTTCAGCTTGATTGGATGACTGGTGTAAGATTTATTGCAGTTTTAGTTAAAGTTTTGTCAGTTTTTTGCTACTTATACCTCAAAGCGTTACCGATTACTTTAAATATCGGTCACTATTTTTAAAATAACGTTTACATGAGTGTTTTAATATGTAATACCAACAATTTTTGTTATAACTATTTTATGAGTACATGTACAGTTTTCATTTTATAGACCAAAATAGTGATTTGCTACTTAAAGTGTGATTTAAAATAATCTTATGCTACTAGTGTCGACACGGCCTTCAAAGTGGGGAGAGTCGACCCCTCAATTTCTAAAATAATAGCTTATATTTCTAAAATAAAAAAAAAAGTAGAGAAGGACATGACCCCTTGCATCCCCGGCGTTGACGGCAATGTATGCTTCGCTTGAATATACCAACGTTTCCTAAGGTATAAACTACTGCAAAAAAGAAAAAAAAGCTGAAAAAAAGTGCAAAACCTGGTCAAAGGACTACTAGTTAGTAAAACAAAAAAAAAGTAAATTTCCTAAAATATTTTGTATTGACTTTCTTAAATACATTTACTTTTAAAATGAAGTGAAAACTATTTACACCCTATTTTTTACATTGTATTACCATCAAATATCTAATTACATTTTAAGAAATTTTTTTTTGATTTTCTCCACCAAAAGATTATTAATAAACAGCTCAACGTACTCTTTTAATACAAATACTCTATAATACTACTTTTAAAGATGGTGAAAATATTCATTATATGCCGTAAAATATGAATTACAGCAGCCTAATTTCTAATAACTCAAATGATGTTCTTAAAAGATGCTTACTGTTTAGATCAATTATGCAGCGCAACAATCTTTCTTTTTTCAAAATCAAGGATTTCATCAGTCAGAAAGGCCCCAAGGGGATCCTTTCTGACTGATGAAATCCTTGATGTGGTAGAAGACGGCGTGAATTTTGGGTGTTACGCTTGCACCAGTTATCATTTGGTAACACTTTTTGAAATTTTTAATTTTTTGAAAATTTCAAAAAGTGTTAAGAATGTATCCAAAGCAAGCCTTGACAACTAAATTGAATTTTTTGAACACTTCAATCATGCAAACAATATTGGGAAATATGTTTGTTTCAGCAAGTTGCTGCAGCATATCCACATTTTTAGGGAGCTTCCTGCATTCATTTCCCTCAAACTAGCCCCCGTGATACGGGCTTAGTTGAATGTGGAGGGTGGCTGACCACTTAACAGCATCTATCATGCAGTTTTAAGGATCTAGAAAAGATGGTTGACAATTCCTAAGAGGAGATGCAGTTCCATCGGTGGAATAATTTCCAAAATCAGAACATTGACAGGCCCGCAGATGATTGGCTTTCGGATGACATTGCCAAACAGCTTTGCATTAGCAACAACCCCGCCAGATTGCTGAGAAGACTCAAGGCTTGAATTAATTGAGCCCAGTGTTCTCAAGTTTCCAGATTTAGCAAGACAATTGGATTTGACGTCACACCAGGCGCAAGGGTGCGTACTTGATTGAGTTTGAAGACCACAAATTATATTTGCAACTTTCATATCACAAGCTAAAATTAGTTTAACTCCATTTGCATTAATCAGTGACCAGATTTGTTCAATATTGGAGTGTGTTTCTGGCAAATCTTCTGAAACCCCAACAATAATTTGTCTCTTGAGTCTAGTGTCTTTACCAGTCCTTTTGAGTGAGAGTTTGTTGTTGGTGCGGTGAGCTGGTTTCATCCCTTAACGCAGTATAAACAATGCTTAGGTAAAACTTGAGAAAACCTTTGCCACCATCAATTCCGAGCTTAACAAATTAGACACCAGTATTTTGCGGGACTGAAAAGTAAGTGGAGGCCCGGCGGATGCTTTAGCCAGTAGAATAGTTCTTTCAGGAGATAATTCTTTATTGGAAATGATGCGAAATGCAATTTGTTCGATTGATTTGGCATTTTTGCTGCTAAAAATTGAATTTTTTCCTTTAACATTATTTGAGAGCATTGGTGGGGCAAACTTTTTCCTAAAGGGCTGAGGCATTTGCTGCAACGCACCTTTGGTTTTTTCTCAATAGTGGTTTGCTCAGTAAGAGGATGTTTTTCTTGCAGCTTTGAACAACCAATTCGGCATATTAGGCAACAACACATTGCGCCTCTTGTGTCAGGTCTTACTTTTATTGACTTAAACCAAACAAAGGAGGGAGTGCAACTTCTTTCCCGTCTTGTTTCCTGCGCAAAGTAATTCTACACGATTCGCCGAATTCTTTTGGTACCCGAGTATCACTGATATTGATCTTGGTTTTGTACAATTGCCATATTCGATCTGCTTGAAAAGTAGTAAGTTTTTTTTAGACAGAGCAAGCACACAAACTTTCAATTTTCAGCATAATTCTTTGCTTGATTTGGCATTGTGGCAATTCACTAAATTTGACTTCACTAAATCAAACTCTGTCTTTTACAAAATTTGGCCTAAATTTATATTTGATAACAATCCACTTAACATAGTAACATATATTATTAATTAAAAACTATTAAAATAAAGGAAATGTTTACTTGATTTAATTGAGGTAATATTAAATTACAAGGAAATAATTCTTGAATAGTTCTTTCCTTACCAGGAAACAATTGTTTAAACTATTTACTTGTAAGGAAAATACATTATTAATAATTGTCACACTTATTAAACTAATGATACTTGTCACACGGGTTGTTTTATTTCAAATCAACCCTTCAACCTAATAAAAAAAGTTATTCAGTTAGAGTAATTTTACTCCGACTGGCCCTCCAAACTTTGTATTGGTCAGATATCTGAGTTAACTTATCTAAATTTCAATTATCTTTGTCAATATAAAAAAATATTTGGTTTTTTCACAGTTGTTCTGTTTTCAGATAAATAAATATTTTTATTTCCTATGTAGGTATCCCTAAAAATTTTTTTTAACCATTTTTTAGATTTTTTTTTTGCATTCTGGCAGTAGTTTATACCTTAGGAAATGTTGGTATATTCACGCTACGCATACATGGCCGTCAAGGGAGCCATGGCCAGCCCACTTTTTTTTCGCGAGGACCTTTTGTTTTAGAAATATAGGCAATTACTTTAGAAATTATGGATTTTATTTTAGAAATTGAGGAGTTGACCCTTTACACTTTGAAGGCCGTGTCAACGCCATTGGCATAGGCCAATTCAAATCACGCTTTAAGTAGCAAATCACTATTTTGGTCTTTAAAATGGAAACTGTACATGTACCGATAAAATAATTATAACAAAAATTGTTGGTATTACATAGTAGAACACTTATTACTGTAACCGTTATTTTAAGGTGGTAGTTAACCAAAAATTAAAAAAAGCTCATTTTTTTCAAAAATTAAAGTTTAACAACTATATCCTTATAAAATAGTTAAAAATATATATCATGCATTTGAAAAAACTCTTTAGTGAATAATTTGAATAAAAATTTTAAAAAATTATAGACAA